AAGATACATAAACTTTTGGGATTGACTGTATAGCCAGTACATCCTTAATCAAACTCTGATTACTACCGTTCCTTCCCGTACGGATATCGTTTTACTTCGAAAGACGTTCAAAGCTGCTCGTACGCGTCTGTTTTGTTAGTCGAGGATCAATATCCGGTCCGAACGAACTCCGCGTCTGGCATCGAACCCGTCGAGGAATTTCGTTACTCGAAACCCGTTCAAGACCGCCTATGAATCGGAGATCCATTCACGAACTATCTTAACAGTTTTCATTCATCCGCTCGTACGGGACGCGTGGAGAGCTGCGTTCGATCATTTTTAGATTCTCCACGGGATGTCCACTTTACGAGCTCGTTCTCGCGTTCGCCACTCGCTCGGGCTCGCCTTGACGCAGGACTCAGAGGCATAAGAGTGCTTCTACGTGTTCTGAATAGGATGTATTCATTGAGTCCCATGACGACTCTGTAACGGGATGTTCGAACTGTGATGCCTGGTTGTGGTTCACTTCTCGAAGTTAAAACCAGAATTTGGGGTATCACTTGAAGGTTAATAATTAAGGATCAACGTTGCGTGGAAAGACAGAACTTTATTACAATTGAAGTGAATATAAAGAGACCAAGACTAAGACTGCTTCAGGACGAGAGGTTAGGGCTATTTAAGGACTTTGAGAGAAATGACCTTTGGATGTGAAGAAGTAGTGGGAAAAGTTTGGAAGATGACAAGGTTCAGAATGAGTAATAGTGATTGTGGTGACTGGCTATTGATTTAGATAAGGGATGAGGCAGCTTAGGTACATGTTTTACAGATGAGACATCTTTAGATATATAGATAACATAAAAATATTTACGTGTATAACAGAACGATCCAACGTACTCACAGATCCAGGCGGATCTGCACGTACAGAACGAGCTACGATGGATCAGCTTCGGCTCTGCTACGAATCGTTCCTTTCTTACGCGGACATTTGATGTAATAACGGGTAAACGGTTGATGGGTATACGTACACCCGTAATCGGACATGATCGCATAATCGCGGCGCGTGCTTCGCTCCGGTTCGTCGGAGATTACGCGAGTGTATCTACACTATCTACTACAGGCTAGTACACTTACACGCACGTGCGACCTTCGAATAAACAGGGAGAAATCGCGAGGAATCACGGATTCCACGTGCGGGTGGTGCACACGTTCGGCACATGCAACAGAGTGTTTGTGAATTATGGGAACCGCGTACAGCCCTTGGCAACCGTTTTACTGTCGGGACCGATAGGTATCGCACGTTAAATCCAACCGCTTCAACATCTTTAGTAATAAGCTTACAGCTTCGGCGCCAATGGACTCATAAAGCAACTGACATTAACTGTCGAAACCGATACCGATCCGTGTCGGTACGAGTGCAGTGGTTAATTTTCAACCGATTCGTACCGACTCTTGAACATGTAAAACGCAACGACATCTTCAATACTGAACATGACGCTTCTAACTGTCGCGCTTCGTTCATCATTTACTATAAGCAGAGTGTTGGAGCTTGATACTCAGTGAAATAAATCCAACAGGGTAAGCTGTTGTTAATGTGAGTTTTAACACTAGAAAGACTGAAACTTAGTATATACCTATATTGCCCAAAAGCAGTCAAAATGACTGCATTGTGAAAG